AAAAAAAAAAAAAAAAATCCCACAAACCGCTTAAAACTAGTGACCCATAAACCAAAGAAATGACAAAATTCCCCCATTTGCACCCGAAAATAAAAACAGAAAAAGAAAAATAAAATAAAATCTTGTAACAAAACAAAAGGAAGAAGAAAAGAGTTTCTCACTGTTGAAGAGCAGAAACGGCGCAGTGGACTTCATCGTCGGACGGAACAGGACCGAGAACAAATTCATCAACAAACCCATGAAAAGCCTTTTCCTCTTCTTCACAGCCGCCATCCACCGCCACCCAATCGGGCTCGTCACAATGAGGCCAGGACGAGGACGACGGCGGCGACGACGTTGTGGGCAATCCATGTACATGATTATTATTATTATTAACATTGCATGAAGCAAAAGGCCAAGACAGAGACAAGTTGTTGGTGGAAGAGTTGCCGCTTTTCTGGACTTGCCTCGGAGTAGTACTAGAACTTGCAGTGTTGGCAGTAGAAGCGGTTGAAGAAGAAATAGTGGGTTCTTGAAGCGGCCCGCCGCCGAAACTGGCCCTTGTAACAACTCTGCCAACCGACCTCAACAGCCCTCCTCCATTACCACCTCCCATGCTTTTGCCTCCGAACATCATAGGTTGGTAAACTCACGATAAGGAAAGGATATATTCTTGTATTTCTATATCTGCTTTTTCTTAAGCTTTTTTTATTTTATTTCTGAAAAAAAAAAAGAAAAGAAAAGAAATAAGAGAGAAGTAAGGCAGATTTTAGTGTGGATTTTTCTCTAGAGACTGTGACTTGTCTCTTTTTTTTATTATTTTATTTGTGATCTGGGTTTGTGTTATTCTCTCCATATGATTGTTATGGATAGGAACGTGTGTGACGGTCGAGTTACATTGGCGTCACCTTAATTTCTTTTACGATAGTGTTTTTTTTTTTTTTTTTCCCCTGTATTGGTTTCTTTTCTTCTTGGTGACCTGTGTCTTATTTACTGCCAAAATTACTGGCCAAATGCCGCGTGTTTCTGGATACGTTTTTATTCAATTGTGCCACTATTTTTGAAATTTTCTAAACAAGCCCATAAAAGTTTTTTTTGATTACCCTCTTTCTTTGATTCTGTATGTGATAACAAACAAATTTTTTTTTTTTTGAAAGTTACGCACACTTTTTTATGCAGTGAGAATTTAGAAAATTCAATCTTGATTCTTGGGTATTCAGTTGATGGTCTTGGATTGGACTAATTTATAGCCCGTTTAATTCGTTAGTTTGAGTTTTTAATTTAAGTTAAGATGTAATTTTATGTGAAAATTTTTTACGGTAGGAAAAAAGTTAAATATGACTGTTTTTTAAATTTTTTTACTGTAACAAAATTTAAATTGGTGAAATGAACGAAACTTAATTTAAATTAAATTATTAAAAGGAAAAATAAAGTGAAGACTCTTTAGACTCTATAAGTTTAAATTTTTATTTTTTATTTTTGATTAACATTATTTTTAGTTAAATAATTATATTAATTAAAAATGTAATAATTAAGCTTAAAGAATAAAAATCTAAATTTAATTGAAGTTACTGCATATCCGTGTATAATTCCCATTATGCAACCTTGAAATAAGGGGTAACTATTAGTGTAAAACTACCTACGAATATTTGATAGCAAATAAGGAAAAACATATGTACATATGTCAATAGTCGAAAACAATCTACAAATGACGAAAATTGGAGCAAATTTAGCAAAGAGGAAGCAAAAAAGTATGCAGTCGAACAATTTAGAATTTGAGCAGGGAATGGAGAATAAGAATACTAAGAGCGTAGAGCTCTCTAAATTTTAACTAAATTCTAACTAAAATGATTAAAAATTATTTTAATTCACAATTTTTTAGTGAGTTGCTCTAATTATATTTTCTATTTTAGCTAAATATAAATTATTTTAATATTTTTTAAGTTTAAAATATACATAATTTTTTTAACTTTTATTTTATGTCAAAATAAAATAATTAAAAGAACAAATAGCTAACTACTTATTGTTAGCTATATTTAATTAGTAGAAAATGTTTTAATCAAAATAGCTAACTATTTAACTAATGATTGAAGTGAAAAAACTAAAAAAAAAAGTTAAATCATTAATTATTTGGTTAAAAACATTAATGGGTAGCATGATGACAAGTATATAACATCAACATTTTTTTTTTTCCTCTAGAAAGCAAATATATCATTTATTAACGTCTTTTCTTTTTATTTGTTGGGAATTATGTGATTTCTAATCTGTAATCGAGGATTGTTAATGATTTCCATTTTAGTGAACTCTATAGAACAGGGATGGCATTCAACAAGTTTAGCTGACGTTAAAGGATTGGACAAATTGAACGTCGGTAGAGGTCTAAGTTTGGGCCGTCCGGTCTGGATAAAGAGAAATTTTGAATCGGACGGACTTTAAAAGAGAGAGAGGGTCGGTCTAATTCGGTCTTAAGCTTAAAAGTTTAAGACTGTCCCGGCCCGTCCCAAAATTTTATAAGATATTTTTTTATAAAATCTTTAAAAATATGTGTTAGAGTCGGCCAGACTTGGCCATAAAAGAAAGAGAGTCGGCTCCAACCTAGTTTTAAGTCTAAAAAATTTAGAGTCAGACTAAACCAAACTCAGACTAAAAATAACGGGTCTCGAACCGGCCCAGCGTAAAATTACAGCTCTAAACGTTGGTTATGAAATGATGGGCGTATGGGTGCTTTTTGGGACGATAATTACATCTATTTTGTGTACAAATGTGATATCATAATTATTAAAATTTGAAATTCTTAATAATAGACTTTTTCTAAAATAATTTAAAAATGATAATATTATAATAACTAAATAAAAAATAAAATTAAATGTCGAACGGCATATATCATATTCTGTATTAAATTTTGCCATCGCTATGTACCTTAGAATGAGAGTAAAGGGGAGAGAAACATTGTTTCTTTTAAAATCTCTTACGCGTTATCCCTAATCATAAATTGTAAAAATCATATAATCTTAAAATATGGACATTACAGTTTATGCAAAATTATGGTTTATTTACGTAATTAAAGAATTACTCACACGAGAAATAGCTAAACATTGCAATACAGAGTAATTTTCCATTACAATGCTAAAATTTAACATAAACGCGCTATCTTGGCACTGCATCAGCAATGCTTTTAGAGTTATTATTTGAGTGGCTCCAGTTGAGTCTTGAAACAAAGCCATAAGTTTTGTAACTGAAGCTGGCATGGGTATGGCCCTGGTGTGACCAGGAGAGGAAAGATGTCGAATTCAACATTTTTCCGATTTGTGAAGCTATCATTAACCAGCCGATGGGAGGAATTCGATCAATGATAAGTGGTTGAATTCCATGATAACGTGGAGGTAAATAATATAGAAGAAAGAATTGTGCAAAGTGGAGAAAGAATTAACGGTAGAAAAACGACAGCCGATAGAAAACAAGAGACTTGAGAAACGATAAGAACATGAAAATATAGATGCCACAATTTGAAAAGAGGCGTGGGTTCTGAAACAACAGTAATTTGACTAAAAACAACAGATATACCATACATTAAAGACTCCAAACGACAATGTTTTAAAAGACAAACAAATTAAAACGACAACTACTTAACGCAACGACTTGAAAAATAGGAAAAACAATTGACAATTACCTGAAAAGTGACAACTACTTTGTAAAAAAAAAAGGCAACGACTTGAAAAACGGCAACAATTCCAAAGATGATGACAAATAGGTCCATGGGAAATCAGGGTAAGAAACGACAATGGCTTAAATGCCAAGAAATTGAAAACCGCAAATACTTAAAAGCCAGAGAACGACTTGAAAAATGTCATCGTTTCTGAGATGGTAAGAGATTAGAAACGACAACAATTCATGAAATGAAAATAACCGGAAAACGACAAAGGCTTCACAGAGACAATGAATTGAAACGACAACTGCATGAGAATCGAAAAAGACAAAAGGGCAAGGATTTGTATTTACTATTCTTAATAACAGCATGAATGATTTGGGTGAATCAAAATCAAGCGCAATCCTTTATACTGAACATTGAATTTGTTGAATATGTGTCATAGACAAGAGTTGACTCAGGGCTTATTTGTTTCCTTATTAAAGATTTCTTGAATGTCCTACTAAGGGTTTGTTTAGTATATGAGTTTAAATTAGGATTCAAATCAATGTTTTTTATTATGACTTTTAACTTTACGTTTGGTTGGAGGATTCAAACCATGTGATTCGAACCATTTTCGATTTACGTGAATTTTTTATGAGAGAAAATACTGTAGTGAACCACGAATCATGATTCGAATCAGGGAACGAATCTCTCTACCAAACATACTCTAATTTTGTTGTAAGTGAAAAATACTAATCAAAATCATGAGTTTACACTGTAACAAAACCCATATACCAAACATATAATTGCATTATTAATGTAAACATGATAGGCTATTTGAGTAGTTTTGTTTCTTTTTATATCTTTGATAATGTTCATCACAAAATGGAATATTGTTTCTTACCTTTAATTTAACTTTCATGGAATGAGGATAAAAGATAAAAGAACATAACTTGCTTGCTTGCGCCAAACTTTAAATTAAATAGATTTAGGATAAAATATGAATATTAAAAAAATTTAAGAGATACGAGAATTTAACGTGGTTTGATTTTAGTCCATGTTCACGAACAAAATAGCAAAATTACACTATAACCAAAAAAAGATTACAAAAGTCCGTAAAAAATATCTCACCACTCAAATTCTAAATACACCTAAAATCTCTTAACCTAAAAGTTAAAACCCTAACTGTCAAAAAAATAATTCTATAACCAAATATTCTTACATCAAAACAAAAGAGAGAAAATTGTCTATCAATAAAATAAACCAAAACACTCAAACACGACTGCTATGACGTTCTTAATATAAGCACATATATATGCTTCTCAGCAAGCTAGGGCATGTGGTCACAAGCAAACGGTGATAAGCAATAAATGTGGGCCTTGAGTAGCAAAAAATGCGGGCCCGAGAACAAAAACAAACTTAATGGGCTTAATTTAAAGTCAAAACCCAGCAATCTCCACCTTAGCAAAAAAATTAGACCAAGCCTAAAATAATGAATTTTCTTCGCCATCTTCTGCAAATCCCGTAGGACTAATTTCAATTTGCAACGCCAAATCAGTCTAAACGACGCCTGAACTTACAATTGGTAACCAACTTGATCACCGAACTTGTCACAACTGATTCAAAACAAACTAAATTGTCAAGCTCCACCTACTCACGAACACCAGGATCTTTATCTGCAACTACTAACTTTTTATCTTCAAATAAGATGGTAAAATCATCAACTCTGCTAATTATCAAATTTGATGACTTTGGGCAACAAACCACAACCAATAGTCATTCACTCCAAACTCAAATCCTAAGAATAGTCATGTTGTTGTCCTTCGCTCAAGCGTATGATCATTCACATGAGCATATATAGAACAACCAAATATTCTCAAAACAAAATCAACAGAGCAACCAAGTCAAATCTTAAACGGAGTCTTCAATCCAAATGCAGTTGATGGAGATCTAACCAAATAGCATACTAGAGAACCAAACTTAAAAAGCAAACAACAAGCTTTCCTCAAGAGAGTTGAATTCACACCATCTGCAACTAACAACTACTATGGCATATCCCAAATAATGCATTGTCTCACTATCTTCTTCTTGCGGAATCCATTCAAATAACTCTCACCAAATTGCACACCACATCAGTCATCAACAAACGTCAAAATTGACACCCCTGTATCATTCACAT